AGAACTATGTAAGTTAGAAAATATTTTAAATCAAGGAAAAGGATTATGCAGATGAGGCAGGTAGTTAGTGACCATGTATTTGTAGAGCCATTTATGTGTAAAAACAATTAAAAAACTAATTCACAGTGAGCATGGCATATACATACATGTAGGATCAGGTAATAGGTTTCTTTTCAGCCTAAACAGAATATTTATTTGAATGGTTGTTTCCATCCAAATTCAATGTCTTTTTGCTAGATAGTGAAAATAGGGGGGGGGGGGGGAGAAAAAAGCCAATTTAAGTATATATTATAATTTTTGTTTTCTGGCAACCTACTGCCTTCCAGTCATGAAGATTACATCTTGGTTTCAGTTATCAGTCATTCATTATTACTCTTTTTCTTGGTCTTGGTCTTTAGTCTTTATTCTTAACTTGTTATATTTCTTTGTATAAGATATTAGAAGGAGAATTTATTACTTACTGAAATTATTAAATTTGCTGACAAGACAATGATATACAGATATATCATTTGTGGTTTGATAATTTTTTGGCTCCTAAGGTATTTTGAAATTGACAAGATGGGATGATGTATTTTGTATCACATTTCAGTATAGGTTTGCAATATGTATTGCAATGAATACTAGTCAATTTAAGCCTATATTTTCTTGAATATATTCAAACTTCAAAGATTTCTTTTCTTTTCTTTGCAGATTGTTCATATAATTATTATTTCATATTTTTTTCAGTTGTTTCCAATTCATTTAGGATAGAACTAGTTGTAGCCTAGGTTGACATAGGCTTTATTAGATCAAATTAGGTCATACTTCAGGGGGAACTTTAAATTTGAGGCAGGAATGCATGTCATGTAAACATTATTGCATATTTGTTTTTTTTTTCATCTTAATGCATTATCATACTAACACTTCATCAAATTTGAAAGTATCTCAATGCATTATTATAGAATGCATTCTACATGTATACCCCTTGAGAATGGATGGTTAATCCCATTGTTAATTTTCTTCTGCAGGAGCTGAGTCAGTCTATGAGCGATGTCGTTTTCCTGAAGGTGGATGTGGATGAATGTGAAGACATTGCCCAAGATAACCAGATTGCATGCATGCCTACTTTTCTTTTCATGAAGAATGGCCAGAAGGTAAGGGCTTCTTCTATTTTTATGTTAATGTTGTGATGATATATTTTTTGAATATTTAAGAATTTCCACAGGAGATTTTTTTTTTTTTTCCATTTTTTAATTTGTCCTTAAGCAAAGAAAAGAAAAAAGAACCCCAAGCCCATGTCAAGAATTGACATTAGATTTGTATTTTTTTTTTATGTTTAGCTTTTTGAGAAAGAATGGCATTAGTTTTGTTTCTTTGTATTTATTCATTTATTATTATTATGATTGTGTGTTATTATTACTATTATTGTGTGTGTGTGTTTATTCACTTGTTTTGGGCATTGCATATAATAGGAGATCTGTTTTGCAGCTTGACAGCTTGTCTGGTGCCAACTATGATAAGCTCCTCGAACTCGTTGAGAAGAACAAGTAAACCATTCCACTGCTCTCTCTGGCACCAAGAGCATGAAAGATGGACCATCTTTGCAAATTAGATCTGCTAATAGTATTTTGTTTTAGATTCATTGTGTGTGATTAAAGACAAAAATGGAGCTGTTTTGTTATTTATTTTGTCATAGATGTTCACTTTTTTCCAAATTTCTCTGTAAAAGATGATATAGCACCTCTTTATTGAAAATTTATCATTGTTTTGATAGAAGGTAGTTTAGGCGGCTAATTATTTCAGGTGAATATCCAAGATCTTTTCATTATTGCATTATATTTAGTACCAGTGACTGTTTGTGCCTTCCTATGTAATGTTGAACTTGGATTTATAAGATTTCAATAAAGTCTGAATATCTACCATATAATCCTTTTGATATTCAACCTATATGCCAAATCCAAAGTCAAGATGAATTTCAATTGCCTTTTAAACTGATAACTGCTGTTTTGATATTCAGCAGTAAGGAGTTAAATTTCTGATAAATGGTGAAGCATTAATTTCAAACGTGGGTTGAAACTGAAAAAGGTTGTGAGAATGTAGATTGTGAAGATGCTTTTGTAAAATCTGTTGCTTTTGACAGACTGGGTGCTAGGTATGAAAATTTTAGTCATGCCGATGGTATGTAAAGTCCAACTGCTGTGCAAGTAATGTCCAATCTACTTCCAAATTTACTTTTGTGTGTTGCCAGTTCCTCTACTGCTACTTTTGATTCTTGTTACCATAACACTAATATGAGTAATATGAGCACGAGTTGAAATTAGCAGTTCATGCACTGACAGCACTAAGTGGTTAAATTTGAAATGGCAGGGCCTGTACAATGCCATGTAGGGGCCATAGATATTCAGAAACTTACATTAAATGGAAAAAGAAATAATACGCATCTGGAAATTGTAAACAAAAAAACAAAAAAAAACATGAAAGGTTTAGAAAAAAATGAGAAAATAAAGTCCTACCCAATGTGATGAGAAAATAAAAATCCTAATTATCGCCCAATATTAAAACTAAAATCAATAGAAAAAGAGCATTATTTATTAATTTATGATTTTAAATAATTTTCACTCCTTGCTTTTGCTAAAAAAATGACAAGCACTTCTTTTGTGCTGAAGAATTGCTCTGGGGAAATTTTAGTAAACCATGTTGAATCATTTGAATACTTTGAAATGGCTACTTTGGTATATGAAAAAAGATTTTTTCCTGGAATAGATATATTTTGGATACTATCCCACCCCACCAAGGTAATATAAGGAAATGGAAATGATGAGAAAATATGAATATTTAAAACTACCACACTGACTCAAAACCTTATGTAACATGCATAAAGCCTCACAAATAGCAAAAACCACAAACCCTTTTATGAAGGATTAGCAGAGCTGTAAAATACAGTATAGTGACTTTTTCAAGAAGAAAAAACAATGGAATTAGACAAAGTATGAATAAAAGACAGTCAATGATATATGTTTTGCTGACATAGCTTACAATTCATAAGATATGTTCACATTCATTGTTATGTATTTACTAGATACTTCAAAGTATGAACTTTTTGATATTTATTATAACCATTGAATCCAGGTACACATACTAAAGTACACAGACAAATTAACAACAAATATTGTTCATGAAATGAGAGAAATGAAATGGGATACCAAATTTTTAAACTAGTTTGTGTTAATCAGTGTTTAGCCTGTGGAAAAAGCTCGTTGTAGTTGTGGGGAGGCTTAGGAGATTGAGATTCAGGCCTAAGGCAGGGGGCTTCAGCCCATACAACTATTTTTGCATGAACTTTTCCTTCTCTTCTTCATCCCCTTCTGTCTACTTCCTAAGTTGTGAGAGTGTTGAAAGGTTAGCTTTGTGTCAGTCATGATCAGCCTCAGGGAGCCATGGGTATGGTAGTCCTTTGATTGATTGCCTAGCCCAAGCCCTTACCACTTGTGGGGAACCTGAGGGGTAGACCTTTTCTTTTCCCCACATATTTCAGGCTCACCATGTATAGGGGCATTAAGACTTGCCCCTTCATCATCTAGCCTATTTAGATTATTTTGTTGGTTTCCCAACCCTGGCTCTGACCACTGATACTAATACTCCCTCTTTGATGGTTACTGACAACTCCATCTGTTCCGACCCACCCACCCAAGTCATTATTCAACCTTCAGAATGTAGCCCTTCCTCTCGCCCAACATTATCCACTCCATCTCGTGCACAGTATTCATCACTGTCTACCCCCCTCCTTATTACTACTATTCATCCTTAATACCCTCAGTACTACTTCACTCCACACCCTTCATCCTCCCGCCCTCATCCTACTGCTTCCACCTCTGCAAATCTTTTAACTACTCTCTTTGGCCCAACCAAGTGGGATTGATTCTTTGATTCCCCCTACAGCCCCTTACTCTGATAATACCCTTCTCTTCCAACAATGTCTCATTCTGGTCGTTCATGCCTGGTGACAGTTACATCAGCACATGCACTATCTACCCTGACTGAACTCACTAGTAATCATATTCCTGCCGAACCTCTCTCCTCTTTTAATACTTGTACTGGACCTGTTTCTGTCTCCCTGACTGCTTGCCTATCTATGACAAGAACTGGTCAGACTGAAAATTACCTACATGACTGCCTTGTTATGATGCAGTAGTAGTACAGTGCTACAATATTCCACCCAGCGCCCAGAGACCAGCATAAGTCCCACCCCAATATTGCCAAGATTAACTCCCTCATGAAGTTTAAACGGTATAGTGTCTTACCCATTCTAACTATATCAACCCCTTCCTTGTCAGTGTCAGAAATGGTGGCATTTTGGCCAACCAGCCAAACACTGTCACTTCACAGCTCGCTGTCCTCTTATGTGCCCAACCTGGTCATGACTGTTCAAATTGCTCTGCTCAATCACGTACATGTGCCAGTTCTGGTGGATCCCATAATGTATTTCATAGGAGCTGCTCTACTTATAAGCTTGAATTTGAGGTTGCAGTTCTCAGATTGAAAATAGGCCTCTCAACATGAGGCCAGATAGGAAGCATGAGGACAAGGTTTTCTTCTCTCTATAAAGCTGTCCTTCACTTTGCTCATCTCCCATCTTTTCAAGATGTCTCAACATACCTTCCTACCTTTACTCCCCCTCTCAGCCAGTCATTTTCCTTTCCCAGTCTAAATCCCCATACACCACTCTCTACCACTTCTATGATGCTTACCCCTCCTCCTCTTCACTTTATCTGCCACACCAGACAACCAAAACATTCTTCTCCTACCACATCCTCTCTTACACCCTCCTCTTCCTTTGCTCATCGGATATCTATCCCCTCTTCTTCCTCACAAGAGAACCTTTGTTTCTCAGACCTCTACACTCAACTTCCCTTCAGGAACTCTTGAAGACATCCAAAACATTCTAAAGATGACCCAAGGGAATACCCTGCTCTCTCATCCACCCTCCAATCCTCTTTTATATTCGCTCTACATTTAAACTATTTGCTGATATCCATCCTCCTTCTCCTCTAGTTCCCCATACCTCCTTTCCTCCCACACCCTCTCAACACACCCAATCCTGTCATTCTGTATGTGCACCACTCCCTCTGTTCCCCATTATCCTTACCACTCCTACCTGGATGCTCACATGAATCCCTTCTGTCACAACAGTGTCCTTCTCCTAACCCTCCCTTCTTCCTGATACTTCACCACCTCCCCCAGTCCATTTTTTACATTCCCCGAGATTATTATTCTCCTACTTCTCCAAAAGCCATCTGTTTTCCAATGTCCCAATGTCTTTCACTAATTTCTGCTGTACTTCATTTGCTCCCCCTCTTTACCCTTTTCAGTACCTTAGTAACCTATAATGCTGTAAAATCTTTGACATCTAACACATTTTATTCTAATCGTTAACTCATCTTTTTCCTTTTCACCACAGTACTTTACCGCAGTGCTATATGACCTTTGATGTCTAACACATTAATTTGTTTAACCATTAACCATTAGTTATTATCTTTTGGAAAATAAAGTTTATGCCATCCACATATTTCTACCTGCCCTACACCTTACTCCATATCCTCCTGGAGATAGTGGAGGAATCAACAGTCTCATCCAATGTGATAGTTATTCACTGACTGGTATTCAATGATGTTTTTAATACACCATGTTATTCTGCAATAGCCATCAAGCTAAGATACAGAGATTACTGATGCATTTTACTTGCGCCATTCTTAATCTGTGAGGTATCTATATTATGTGAAGCACCAGTAGGATATAAGTATAAACATCACCCTTCCACCATGATTAAGCTGTCTGAACATCTGTGAAAAGCAAATGAACTGAAAGCACATACTTATTGTGTGTTGATAAAGTATGCTTTTATACAATAATATATCTAAACAGAAAAAGAATGTTACATACAGGAATGGTGATCTTAGTGAAAACTGGGAACTCCCAGTTTCCTTAAAGAACAACAGCTATGGAGTTAAAAGCTCGAGGGAAAAATCAGAATCACAGGTAACATAATATTACCCTTCTTTATGTACTCTTGGCTATGACATAAACAATTTAGTAGATAATAAGGCTAAAAAGAGGCTTTCACCCCACTTTTAAGGGACTATTTCTCCTCAGTAAATGCAGCCATGGCATAACTGTGCATAACTTAGAGCAGGCTTAACCATGCATGATGCAAAGATGTCACCCCAGTGTAAGGGGCTACCACGTAAGAGGAAATCATCCTGGTGTGAATGCTTTTACCTTGGTGACAATGGTCCTGATTCATTGGTATAATCTTGGTATAATTTTTAAACACTATATTTCTTTCTTAATGCATATAAATTAACAGCTTCAGTCCAATGCACATTTATTACTCACTTTTTGAAAAGCATACTAAAAGAAACTCATGGAGGAAATTTACCCTGAACATGCTCACCAATTCTCGCCCAAAGGAAAAAGTCCCTCTGGTAATTGTACTTCAAAAAATCTGGGCAGGTTTCTAGACATTTGATTTGTGTTACACCGAAGCTTATGTGCAAGTGACTCCATTAAGAACAAACATGGACATTTGGATAATCATGCACATTATATTGCTAAAACTCATTCACTGAAAATGCAGAAATGGAAATAATCATATCTATACCTGTGCAATATATCACATTTCCACCGTACTTCTCTATACATTCTAGAGGTTTTATAGAATCTGTACTTTGAACACTTGCATTATTTTTCATATTATCTTTAATCCCAGTTTTGGTTCCCATATTACATTGTTTGATTCAGTTGCTGTATGATGTATTTGTGATTTACCCTCTCTTTTCTTGAACCGTAAATATTAATGACTTTCTCCAGCTAACTACCCTTATAAAGTCAGTGATAACTCGATCTCTCATAACCATTCTGGATGAATGTGCATTTGTAGTGTAATTGGTGAGATGCTTAGACGAACCAAAACAAAAGGAAAACAATAAACAGTACATCCAGCACACAATATCTAGATTTATTTTTGCCAGAACAAATTTTTATTAGTTTTCATGATTGATCTAATATTCTGAATCCTGTAAGTGTACACTATGTTCACCTAATAATTTCTTGTATTTGGGATTTAGAAATTCAGCTGTATATCAAGTTTTTGTATATTCTTTCCTTCCTGCAGTTATTTATTTAAAGCATGACCATTATGTGATATACTTACCTATCTGTGAAAGCTTTGGGCTGTAAAGAGATTGGTTGAAAAAACGAACTTTTCCTGACTTTTTCCAGGTATTTTTCACCTTTTACACCATTCATAATGACAAGTTGGCTGTTGGTGTAGGAATTCTAAATAGCTGTATATTCATCAACTCTTATTTACACCTATCAAGAAATTTAGATCTTATATACCTCTATAATCATCTCCTTGATTTAACTGCTATTGGGTTGTGGGTAAATAAAATACATGCTTAATAATCTCAAATCAGTTCTCAAAATCCTTACTTATACATTTCCCATGCATCTAACATAAATAGGCCAATACACAACACTGTTTACTATAACTATTTTTATACATCTTTTAAAATGAGATGATGAAACCTTTGGTCATCGAAAGGGCTTTCTGGTTGTCAGAAACTGATTCTATTTGTCACTTTGGTGAAGCAGACTCTGAACTTCTCAATATCCTCCATGTGGAATTTAGCATAGAGCATGGAGTAAAGATCTGTTTCTAAATTGAAATGGAAGTAATTATTCTGTATGAAAAGGAAAATTGATTCTTTGCTCTTCAGATTGATACATAGCTATAAATGGCTTCTAGGATCGAACCAAGTATAAGAGCCTTGTTAGAAGATTATATTGGTATAGTATGAAAGAGTATTGGTTCTGTGTGTAATTTTTTTTTATATCAAAAAAGTTTGGACTGAATAAAAGACTTTATTGTTGTGTCAATTTATATATTCATTTTTTCTCTAAAGAAAATAAAAATGTAAAAAAAATAACATATCATAAATATAAAAATTAGAAGATATATACATATAACAACCACAACACATATATACATATTAGAACAGTTTATTAACAACAAAAGGATATACAAATATGTTTACAAAGTAGTAGTCACAATTCATCCAATAATAATGGAAACCTCTGACCCATTTTCTGGGAAATTGATCTGCAGTGTCACATTTTCCTCTACTCCAGCATTACTAATAGAGGGAATATTGATTAAAGTTGGCTGTGAGTTGTCCCCATCCACCGTCACCAATGTATATATTGTGGAGTCCATTCCTGAGCTGTCCTGGGCATCCTGTGGCAACTCTGAGCAAGTGTCCAGGTTAACACACTCTCTAATGATGTTGTCATCAGCCATCACAGCAAAAGCTTGTGAGAGAACGTCAGCCTCATGCTTGCCTGAGAGGGACGGGACTCCTTCTAGGATAGTACTATTTTCGTAGGTGTCCGGTGAATTTGATTGTTCGAGAATTTCGTTGACTGGGTGTGACGTCTTGTGAGCCTGCGGATGCACTTCTCTGAAGCTTGTGCTTGGGACTGCTTCGTTGATGGGCACAATATTTCCTGAGACCTGTGCTATTAAATGGCCAACTGATGTGCTTGTCACATTGTTGGGAACCAATCCAGCCACAGTAGTTATATCACTGATGCTGTTGTCTGATATCAGGTGAGTGACCTCAGCCATGTCACTCAGAGTAGTGTTGGGGACAAAGTTGCTGAGGGCCTCTGCAGCATTTGGGTCCTGAGAGTCATTTGTACAGTTCTCGACTGGTTCGTACTCCATGTAGTCATTTGCTTTCTTGAGAACAGTGTACTCTGTGCAATTTATGTTTGATGATTCGTCCTGAGCCATCTGACTGCAAAAATGAGTTTTCTGCTCCCGTCTACTTGTGAAGCTGTCTCCTGGTAGTGGAAATAAATAAAGAATACGTTGTACTTTATTCTTGTACTTTACAGCGTAATGGAAACCATCAATCAAAATTTACTTAATTTCTATATCTGCTTAAAAATACAGCTTTAAAACTGCATTAATCCCAGTGAAAGAAAATTCTGTATCTTTAAATAAAAAATAGAATAGAAACATGTTTAAATAATACTGTAAGTTTACTGGAAAAATAAATATAGGTAAAAATGTAAGTTCTGAGTATATTAAAATGTAGTAAATAATGTATGGTTTTGGTTTGGCAAATGCAAGCTTTTATGAAGTAAACAGCAGAAGACTGTATTGTCTGAAAAATTCTCAAACTCACAACATAATGCTTAAAGAGCATTAAAGTCATTAATTAAACTGTAGTATACTTAGACAAAGAAGAAGAAGAAGAAAAAGAAAAAAAAACATCTCTCAACCCTTTGCAGACAAAATAATTCACCTAAAAATCCACCTATCCTTTAAAAATAAGTCAATCCATTTATAAAACCCTTCCATACCCCAAAGGAACCTATCTACCAAAACAACGACAACAAACCAACTCCTCTATTCACCTGTTCATTATATCTATCAATCATCGTCAACCTACCACACTTTGGACAAGAGAAGACCCTCTGTGTACTGTGTTGCTGCATGTGTGTGTTCAGGTTTCCTTTCAGGCCAAATCTCTTTCCACAGTGGATGCAGGTATAGTTTCGCTCACCGGTGTGGGTTACCATGTGTCTCTTCAAGCTCTGGCTGTACCTGGGAAGGGGAGATATCATGTGTAAGCAAAACTGGCACAGTAAATAACTTTAGTAATAATAAATTTTAGTAGTAGTAGTAATAATAATATTATAATGGTAAATAGTAAAAGTAAATAATAGGAGTAAATAACAATAAAATTTTGTCTGTGCATTTGTACTTCATAGTTTTCCTTTCTATTCTTTGGGCAAAAAGTACAAGGTCAAGTAATATGCCAAATATAGACGTACTATGTGTGCACATGTGTATGTGTGGATGACCCACAAAGTTTAAATATGTAACAACCATGGATTTATGTACTTTGTGTATATAAATGTATTCATGAATATGTGAACCAATGAAAAACTCACCTAAAGCTTCTGCTACATACAGTGCAAGTAAAAGGCAGAATATTCCAATGGATCAGATAATGGCGTTTGAGAACACTCAGGCTTGGGAACTCACGCGAACACTCCTGACATTTATATGGAGGCTTGGAAGCTGTAAAGGAGATGAACAGAGAGAGGGTCAGAAGAGGAAAATATTACAGGTATACCAATAACATAAATTCTATAATACAAAGCTAGAAGGATAAAATAAAACAACATTAAAAAGAAGATACAAACAAAAATAATAATAATATGCAGAAGGAAAGAAAGAAAAAAGAAAAAAAAGAAAGAAAAAAGGAAATGTAGAAAAAGGAGAATATCAAAAAAATATCCTACGCAATGCATACACATAAGAAGACGAAGAAGAATGAGAAGAAAGAAGAAGAAAATGGTGGTGCAGAAGAAGAAGAAGAAGAAGAAAGTGAGGGAGAAGTAGGAGAAAAAAAAGAAAAAAAGGAGAATAAGAATAAGAATAAGGAGGAGAAGAAGGTGAAGAAGAAGAAGAAGAAGAGAAAAAAAAGGAGGATGAGGAGATGAAAAGAGAAGGAGGAGAAGAAAGAAGAAGAAGAAAAAAAAAGGAATGAGAATGAGAAGAAGAAGGAAAAGTAAAAAAGAAGAGAAAGAAGAAGAAAAAGAAGAAGAAGAAGAAGAAAGAAGAGAGAAGAAGAAGAAGAAGGAGAAGAAGAGAAGAAGAAGAAGAAGACGAAGAAGAAGAAGAAGAAGAAGAAGAAGAAGAAGAAGAAGAAGAAGAAGAAGAAGAAGAAGAAGAAGAAGAAGAAGAAGAAGAAGAAGAAGAAGAAGAAAAGAAGAAGAAGAAGAAGAAGAAGAAGAAGAAGGAGAAGAAAAGAAGAAAAAGAAAGAAGAAAAGAAAAGAAGAAAAAAGAAAAGAAGAGAAGACAGGAAAAGAAAAAGATAATGGAGAGGAGAAGAAGAATGAAGAAGAAAAAGAAAAGAAGAGGAAGAAGAAGAAAAAGAAGGAAAAAAAGGAAGAAGAAGCAGAAAAAGAAGATATGAAGAAAGAAGAAGAAAAGATTAAAAAGAAGAGAAAGGAGAAGAAAAGGTGGGGAAGGGGAAGGGGAAGGGAAGGAAGAAGAAGGGAAGAAGGAAAAGAAAAGAAAAGAATAGAAAAGAAAAGAAAAGGAAGAAAAGAAAAAGGAAAGATGGAAAGAAAAGAAAAGGAAGACAAAGAAAAAGAAGAGGAGAGAAAAGAAGGAGAAAAGAAGTAGAAGAAGAAGGAGAAGAAAAGATGATGGAAAAGAAGAAACAGAAAAAATTAGGAAGGAGGAGGAGAATGAGGAGAAACAAAAGAAGGAAAAAAAAAAAATCCTTACCTTGGTGGGTGACTTCGTGCATCCTAAGTTTCAGAGTTGTAGGGAAAAGAACACCGCAACTTGGGCACTGGAACCCTCTATCCGCCCTGCAAGCACAGCAACAGATAGAATAATAGTGCACATAAAGAAGGGGGGGGGATGCACATCAAATCTTTTTGGGGAAAATCCCTCCATAGAGGGTAGGGTAAAGGAAGGTAAGGTAAGGTAAGGTAAGGTAAGATAAGACAAAGTAAGATACGGAAAGGCAAAGAAAGCTAGGATAAGACAAGGAAAATCACCATATTCTACTATTTCTTTCCCCTCACTGTTATTCTTATTGAACCTTCACATTGTAAATATATATGATAATACTCACACAACTCCTCCTTTGTCATCATTCTTAGGCGTGGTACTACTGTGCTTGACTCGCATGTGCTGCATTAAGTCTGGAAGGTAAAAACACCGATTTAGCTCTGAATTACGTCTTTTATTCTTTTTCAAGTTTACTTTATATTATCCATCAAATTCAAACATAGGGGGCTGAGATATGGATAACTAAAACATGTAGACACAGTACAAATGAGAAAGAACTGCTCAATCCCTTTATTTCTTTTCTCTTCTTTTCAATATTACATCTGTGTCAGAACTAACTATTTTCTGATGAAGATATAATACTGAAACATTTAGGTTACCTCTTGCATTAAGGAATTGTTAAATCTCTTTCAAACCTTTTCTTTATTTGGTAAAAATCATACTGCTTGGTCACTGAAGTAATAAGTAACAACAATTAGATAAAGCAAAGACAAGACCCTATTCTACAAGGTTTAAAATCTAAATAATGTACTATAAAAATAGAATTCCCATTCCATAAGTAACAGCTGTATGTACTGTCCCCTTATGAACTTCATAAAAGATGGAGAGCATGTAGCTACTATATACATCATAAGACAAAATATACAGCATATCTTTCCAAGACAAATTTTATAGCAGTCTACTGATCAAAAAGACACAAGTATTACTAAGGTATCCATATTCCATTAATATTTCTGGTATCCAATATTCAATCAGAAAAAGTGAGGAATAAGGAGAAGAAGAAGAAGAAGAAAGAAAGAAAGAAAGAAGGAAAGAAAAAAAAAAAAAAAAAAAAAAGAAGATGAAGAAGAAGAAAAA